TCGAATGTGAATCGATCCTTACAATCAAGCGTAACAGAGATGTGCAGATGGGAGAAACATCATTACATTTGTACAATATCGTTGGAAATTCATGAACGAAAATTATCGATTGACTTCTCAACAATTGACGACGGAAATGCACAAAAATTTAGATCCGAGTATAAGTGGTGTGTGCGCAGCGGCTAGTCTCATGGTACACAAATGCGTAGCATTGCAAAAAATAATGCATGTATGTTTAAATTAAAATTGATTGTTTGTGCATACGGGACTGGGCAGTGTTTGGGTGAATTGAGTGGGCTCGTAACATAAAGTCAAATATGTAATATAGAATAGATCTATGCGTCGACGATCGAAATGAGTGAGTGGAAAGTGCTACGGAAAACGAAAAGTCCACTTGAATGAATGCAATCAAAGCAATTGGAAAAACTAGGGTCTGCAAATCGATTGTATTGTTCTTTTATGCCTGAAAATAACCCTCTGTGACAAAAAACAAAGTTGTCAGGGGTGCTGCGGTGACAATAACTGTTTCATATTGACACAAGCCTCTGTTTTCATGCCATTTTCACAACAAATTAACAACTCTATGTCTATCTGTGATGGAGCAGATATTGAGAAGTTAGTCTGGCATATATATATATTTGCAAACAGAGCAAATGTTGCATTCTATTGATTGTATTTCTGTAAATTACAATTTACAAATAAAAGAGGTTTTTTTTCTCGCAAAGTTATTATGATACTTGGAATGTAAATACCCTTTTTGTGATGCCAGTTTTTTCTTATTTCTTTTCTACCGCACATTTTCATGAAAGCGTTTTACTCTCTTCTTTGTTTCACCAATAGACTGTTGTGCTGGGACATTATGAACCTTTCGTCTTGGCACCACTTCTACTGAAATAACTTCAGGAATGGAAACTTATTCTATAATGTGTATTATAGGATTTCTCTTGAAAGTAGTTTAATATTCAAGCTCTGAGGTGATAAATACTATAAGATGGTGTGAGCCGACAAAATACAAAGAATATCATTTGTTCGCAAAAAAATAAATTGAAATTAATATTGAGATAATTTTTGGTTAAATATCCTTTTAAACATGTAGAAACATATTGAGACGTTGACAAATTATCCGCTCAACTATAAAAGCAACTGAGAGCAATAAACGAAAGTTGAAATTTACTGAATTTAATTTTGCGGTTCTACTAGTTCATGTCGTCTTATGCGAGCGAATGAAAATTCAAAAAAGCGAATCTAGCGATAGTTCAAAACTCGTATTTCAAATTTTGCAAATCACTTATACCGAAACTTAAACAAGCAATTTTTTTTGCTAATATTTTTATTTCAGGCGAACGCGTAAATTTTTCATTACTATAGTAGTAATATGCAAAGTTCAATCATAAATTTTTTGAAAATTCAATCGAAATTTTCAAATGATTTTAAAGCAATATATTTAGATATATATTCGGAAAAGTTCACCAGCATTTGTAAGCATTTACAATTTCAATCATTTGAGAAAACACCCTCTCACTTACTCTGCTGTAAACATTTGCAATTGAAGATTGGCTTCAATGCTCGTCTCTCTTTATTTGTGTTATGTGTGTGCCTTCATTTCATTTTGTGTACTTTTGCTGGCACTATGCAGTCAAGTGCAAAGAAGAACGTGAAAATGGAAGCAAAAAGATGTTTTGTTGATTTCAGAAAGGGACGATGTCTTTTTTTCTTGCTTATTTATTGAAATGTTGCGCGCGTGGGAAACTAGGTTTACGTATTATATGTATTACTCAGTCACTTTTCTATGCTGACGAGAAAAAAAAGACAACAACTCTAGTGCAGATTCGTTTTCATCGCAGTCATATCCGATCCATGTTCTAATAATTTTTGCGTGTTTTGGATAGTCTTTAGTTTAGGTTCTCTTTTTTTCAATTTTTATTGTTTTGTTTTTTCACTTCATGCACGTACAATTCTAGCGTATGTGTTTGTGGTACATTGTAACGTCTAACCGAATTTTATTCGCTTTTTATTTTTATTATTTTTTACTGTTGTTTATGTTTCACTTGTGTTCGGTCTGTTTCTCTCGTTCGTGCGCATGGCAAGTGCAAAAAATCGGCACAGACACCATAGACGCAAAACAGAGAGAGAATGAAAAAATGGAAAAACAAAAAAAAGTTCATCGAAAAGAAGCAGCACAAGAAAACCAAGTGATACGTATATTTTATGCGATAGAGTCTCATTCCATTGCCATTTTCGTATGGAAAATCAAATAAAACGATGTTATGAACTGAGGGTGAAATTGTCGCTATAATTCTTTGGCCAAACAAGCAATTCAACTATAACAATACAGCGAGTAAACAAAAATTGTACTTTTTTTTTCGTTCTCTCTCTCTCTTTCTCTCTCTCTCCCAAACTCTGGCTACGGAGCGAGATGTGGAACTCGAGATGAAGACAACAATGATGAGGATGGCGATGTGATGTGAAAACAAAAGACCAAGTTAACATGAAAGCCATGTCAAGGCATCCGTTTTTGCGATGAAGACAGCATAGAGAACAGCAAATAAACGAAACAAACATATACATTATACACACAGTACACCCGAAATAAAACAACATTTAGAAAACGAACGTTTTGATCACAATTCGCTCGTTGTCCCAGTGTGTCTCATACGCTTACGTCTGAGGCTATCTATTTTCTCATATTCGAAGGGATTGTCATGTGAGTTAGCTGAATTACAAATTGCTGGTGTGTGCCATTGCCGACTCAAGTAGAATGCCCTTGCTAATTTATACAATAAAAATTTCTATTTTTTTTTCTTCAGTTTATGTACAGAACATTTTCTATTACGTTCGATAAACCAAAACGAAATTTGCAGTGTGTCTTCTGAATCGCTTCGAAGTTTTCTCTATTCAAAAAAAATGTTGATCATTTTTTTATCTAACTTCAATTTTTAGCATTTGTTTTGATTAGCGAAAGTTTCGGTTCGAAATTGACCAATGGATGGCCTTGATTTTGGACCCCTAAAATTCGTAGAAAATTTACATTAATTTATAGAAATGGCACTCGAATCGTTAATTGGATTAAAAATCAATTTGATTCGTGGCCAGTAGTCATATTTTTCGTCGACCAGAGTGAAAATGCATATGTTCAAACGCGTTTAAAACCACGAATTGCATTTCACTTTTCATGAGCATTAAATCAATAAATATTAATATCGTATGTCAACATAATATATGTTGCTATTGTTAACGCTACATGCAATGGGGTGCATAATGTTTCAACAGTAAATACAATGCACGCGACACATTTTTTTTCGTATTCTTTTTCATAAATATATTGAACTTTAATCAAGCAGCATTTATCAAACAGTAAATAAACATATACTTGGACGACATATGGAAAGTGACTTAGACTATTGCAAACCACATGGAGTACATTTATTGCGTTCGAATATATAATAATAACAAAGTATAGACCGAGTGTGCGACGTGTGTACCGAGTTTTTATTTATTATCACAATAATTTGCCATATCTCGACTATAATATTTCGGAATATTGAAAATGAAGTGAATTTTATGAAAATGAAATAGAATATATTAAACGTACCATCAACAATCATTGGAAGAATAAAAAAAAAATTCTTTAAAAAAACCGCTGCAAGTATATCCTTGACTCCCAAAGTCAATAAACACAACGAATATTCTGATGGATATGGTTCGTTTACAATGTTAAAATGGCTATTTGGGTAGCACAGTGCGTGTCGCATAATTCATGCCTACATTGAAATATTCGTGGGGTTTTTACGTCAATTGCCAATAAAATAAACAAACATAGGGGAAATATGCTTGAGCATTTTTTTTGTTTGTGTCGTTGTTGATAATAATCAAAATGAATTTAAGTGCGCATAATGATAAATTCAGTTTCCCCAATATAGTATAGCATTTGAACCGATGAAACGGATAAAGTATTGCGAGTGGTAAAAGTGTTTTTATTTGCGTTGCCAAGTCAAACATTGAGCATATTTTTATGTATACAATTCTTGTTGACGCAGAAATAGAGATAAAGGAAGAGAGAGAGAGCGAGCGAGCGAGTGTGTTTGATGCCCCCCGCTGCAGTTTAGGAAGAACAAAAGCAGACGTAACGATAAGTAAAGTATCGTTCATTTATTTTATTTATAGTAGGTGAGAATAAAATAAATGAATTGCACAATGGGAATGTGAATGTTGAAATGAAGAAATCTTCAAATAATAAAAGCGTACAGACGACAAAAACATTTTTACATTTGGCATTTTCTTTTATTCGAAGGCTCAATTTTAAATTTATTACCTTTTTTGGTTGAAAAAAAAAGAAGACAATTTTGGTAAGGCATTCATTCGAAACAAAAAAAAATGAATAAGTAGTTTGGATGGAGCTTGAGTAATCATCTGGCCTATCAACATTTAACTCACAGAGATAGAGGGTGAGAGAGAGAGGTTGAAGAAAACACGGGCTCGAAGCGAAAAAAGATGTCCTTTACTTTACATATGAATGTCGCAATTGAGAAAATTCAATGAGTGTTTTCTTTTGAAAAATGGGAATCCAATTCGTTTCAAATGATTTATGATGAAATCAGATGTATTGTGATGTCTAGACTTTGTTGTTTTTTCGTCATTAAATTCATTTGAATTTCATTGAGTCGGAAAAGTAGATTTTAAAGAAATAAACGCATCTCTAAACAATGCAATTATTCCCTTTTTAAGCGATTTACTTTTGCATTACAATCACAAAAACAAGCAATATTCGTTAATTATTTTGTTCCAATTGATATTCAAATAGTCTGTTTTTTTTGTAAGTTTGATATTTTTGTGTTGTTCAATTTCATTTATTTATGACATTCGGAATCTAGGCGATAATGTTTCGCTTACTCGTCGGATTTATTATCTCTCGTTTTCATTCGTCTTGATATTATTGACTTTGAAGCGCAATTTCGACTCATTGAGCTGTACTAATGTACACATCCGAATTGACTATTACATTCAACTACTTTGCAATGTGTATTTAAAAGATAGACGAAAAAACGGTTCAAACACGTTCACCAATGGTTAAAAATAAATTATAAAAAAAGACAATTCGCACTTGATCTCAATTCATTGTCGAGAGCATAGTGAAAGTCGATTTTTAATTAAAACAGTCATCAGAGTGCATATTGACATTTTGATTGATTCTGACTATTTTTCCACTATTCCATTCCGCGAATTGACGCAAATAAGCCACCGCCACCGCCACCATGGACGTGCCAAAGTGAGTTGTTAAAAGTGAACAATATTAATAAATAAAATGAAATGAAATAACAAGCGTTTTCCGATCCATTTTTAGATTGAATGTGCTTCTTTTAATTGTTGTTTTGGTTAACATGTTAAGTACCATCCAAACTATGGAAGTGAAGTGCGTTGACAAACTCAATAAACGCCTTTCGATATTCAAAGACGAAGAAAATCATACAAATCCATATCTTGATGTTGACTTTATGATTGCCGACAATCATTGTTTCATCGATGAGAAAATCACATTGGATGATAATGAACTGCTCAGCATTTTATCGCCAAACACTGAACAAATAACGTCAATCACATTTGCCACACCATCAACATTGCCCAAATTTCCCATGGTGATATTTGCAACATTTTCCAATTTAATGGATGTTCATTTGGTATTCACTGGAATCGAAGTAATTGAAGAAGATGATTTTACAAATGCCACGATGCTTAAGCGATTACGATTAGAACAAAACAATATAAAACACATATCGAAGACGGCATTTGGAAAAGCACTTAAAATCGAATCACTTGAATTGCCAGCCAATGGCATTCATGAAATTGATGATTATGCTTTTGCTAATTTACAAAATTTAACCAAATTGGATTTGCAACAAAACAATTTGACCGTTATACGAGAGCATATTTTTTCGGGCGCTTACAATTTAAACGAAATCTTTTTGAATGAAAATCAAATTCAAATTGTTGAAGACGGTGCATTCTATTTGGAAAAATTGTCTCGCATTTATTTACAAGACAATCAATTGAAAACATTATCGCCGAATTTGTTGACTGGTACACCATTTTTATATGGTATTGATATAAGCAATAACCAATTGGCAACGGTTCAAGGGATATTCGATAAATGCCCCAATTTGACGATAATCGGTTTGAATCACAATCAAATTGAATTTCTTGACTTAATCGAATTGGCAAACATTCCATCGCTCATGGTACTTTCGCTTGAGGATAACAAAATCACATTTAATGTGAATGAAACTTTACGAAAAAATCTACGACCATCAAAAACACATTTGGAGTATATAAATTTGGATTCGAATAATCTCGCATCGCCGTCCATTTTAAATGAATTGAATGTCTTTCATCGATTAAAATTCTTAGACTTGGACAATAATAAATTAACAAAGATTGACAATTTTAAGGAAATTCGCTCATTGTTTCCACATTTTATCCAAATGAATATGAATAATAATCCACTAAATTGTGATTGGCTCGAAGATGCTTGGCCATTCATTGAATCGGAAGGCATCATTTTCAAAGCCATTGAAAGTGACAAAGATGACAGAAAGGAAAGCAACAAATTTTCAGCCGGAAATCAAAAGATAGTGCATAACATAACATGTAACATTGAAGATTTTCCTATTTCAAGCAAATAATGAACAACGAATGATTCGGACCATTCCAGACAATTCCGGAAAACATAAAAATCATTTGCTTCGAATGCAAAAATTTATTGGCTTGTGCACGTGTGCTTACACACATTGTAAATAATAATAAACTAACTTTCTCACAGAGATCTTTATTACGCGTCAAAAAAAAAAAAAAAAAAAAAAAAAAAAAAACAATATAAAATTCCAGTGCCAGATTAAAAATTGTCAACAATGTTTAATTATAATAATTGTAATTCAGAAATTTCAATAAAAAGAAATGAAATAACGACTACAAAGTATATCCGCTCAAAAAAAAAACATGTGTATCGCCCACGAAAGCTTACTTACATTTATAAAAAGAAATAAGCTTACCTTCATAAATGTTGTCTCTGCGAATCATTTCGAAAATTGTATCATTGATTGACTGAAACATAAATACATCATGACACAAAATACAAAAGATAATTCAAACGTGTCATCTGCATTGATGCGATTCAAAAATTCAATTGATAGACTTATTTGTTCCTTTTCATTCCGCTATTCATTGAAGTTTTTCGACATTGTTTGAATGAAAACACTTTCTGTCGTTTGTTTAACAGAGTAAAAGAGTAAACGTTTAACAATTCCTGTGTGAGCATAGATCCTCTTCTTTTATATATACATTGCTGCTTGAAGCGATGCCACATCTTACCTTATTCAAAAGATATTTAGTACACGTATTGGTTGCCGGTTTTTAATAAGTTAAAAATAAAACGTAGAATAGACTTAAGAAAAATTCATTTCAAGTCGCAAATACTACTTGCGTGTAGTATGCTTTTTTCTCATTTTATTCAATCAACTTGAAGCGCAGATGAAAATTGATATGAAACAAATGAAAAAGAAGAAGAAGAAGCAAACATGTGAAGTATTCGGAAGCCAGTATGCATTGAAAGAATAAGTGAAAAGGAATTTATCCGAGAAAAAAGACATGATACCTTAGCTGAATAAGAGCAAACATTTCGTATGTGCTGGAATTCAAAGAAAATGTTGAGTACTTTTCGGAAGAACGTCGAACGCTATATGAATTTTTAAATAAGCATCATGCGCTGTCATACACATAAGGTAATTTTCCAATCAAATGGATTGAATGAAACACATACGTGTGTGCTGTTTGTATAACGCACCCCTTGTATTCTTCTTTTTTTTTTTTTTTTGACTAACTATGCTTTTAGCAAAGAACGACTTTTTGTATTCTTGTTAACGACATATGCGTTGAGATGGCTGTTTTCGCGATACAATGCAAATATTTTCATCATAATCACAACTCTCGCATTTTATTTTGTTTGCTTTCTTTTCAATCGAAGAATTTTAACATTTTCGATTTTCGAAACTATTTTACAGGCATTCAAAAGAGATCAGATCTGTATAAAGATACTCTATCACGTAAATTGGATGATTTTATATGCAAACCCAATTTTCCAAAACGACCAACTCGATTTCAAATTCACTATCACCCCTTCATGCTTGGCACGCACATTGAAGTTATTATTTTCGAACAAAAAAAATAGAAAATTTGACTCTCTGTTGATGAAATCAAAACGAAATTAAATGCTAATCGAAATACCTTCAAATTGATTACAAAATCATTCAACACAAATCATTTTGAATAATAAACGTTTGTTATAATTTTGAAACCAATTTTCAGCTGGAGTTTTTCCCATTAAAAATTAGTGTGATACATCAAAAGAGAAAATTATTCTAGTTTTGGTGTTGATTTTTGAATTTTTTGAACTATACCTTTGGCAATACTTGATGCTATGTACTCAATATTGCATTTGAAAGTATCGATAGAATATAATGTTGATAAGGATAGTTTTAGCCAATAATGACCATGGAAACCACTACAAACGCATCCAACATCGGATGGAAATTGACTATTCATCCAAAAAAATAATAGCTACAGGCAAGAATTTGTTAATACATTCAAAATGAATTGATTTTAATAATACAATGTCGAATGCCTATAAATTAACACATTCCGCAAACTCTAGTGAAAATGAATATGAACCGTTAATTCGTTTTAACCCATGTGCATTTTGCAATAATTGTTTTTTTTTTTTGGGGTTTCAATATTCAATCTCTGTTCGAAAATTTGGTGATTTCTAATGAATTCGTATCAGCGAAATTGTGGTATATTGATTTGGTGATGGTGATTTTGTCAATGGTAATAGGTTGCAGCATCGGAAAATGCGACAATTAATGAGATATCACCTATGTATATTTGAATGGTTGAAAATAAATGCAAAATATACAGCCAAAACAACCCAGATCAACCCAAATCACTATAGCACCGCGGGAACATTTTTTTCAAGTTAAGTTGAATATTGGATTTTGTACTCAATGATTTTGCTGCTACACTTTTCAAATGTCTTGATTTGGGTTTGAATGCAAAATAATTTGCTCAAAGAGGTAATATTTCGCAAAGAATTGGATTTTATCTCACCATTTGAAATACATCTTTAAATGATGACTTGAGTTGACTAATTTAAGTGATAAGAAAAGCTTTTCGTGGTCCGATCAAACAAGACGATTTCAAATATTGATTAGATGATAATGAGATTGAAAAGGTCTTCTCGGTCAGTTTTTTTGGCCATTGTTAGTAGAAGTTTTGTATTTATTCTCAGTCATTCACATAGATGTATATGCATGTGATTGCGCATCATCAAACTGGGTAAATGTTAAGGGGAAATCACCGTGTTCGTTGGAAGTGGTGTATATGGAAATGATTTTTTATTAACTAGATTCGTGTTATCAAAATATATATCGACATGTATATGGAAAGCAATGCTCCTATTCACAGGTACTACTCTTCGAAAACGTTTCTGACTAGAGAAATGATCAGATTGTCCCAAAAATGGTCTCATTTTCTGAATTATGTTATGAAATTTTCTTTATCAACAATCAAAGCAAGGCTACTATTTTATCCGGTAAATGGTTAACAAAATTACTTGATGCAATGCCATACCTGTGATTTTCCCCCTGAATAAAAAACCCCGAAGCGGAACGATGCGAATCGTGCTATTGTGGTAAATTTAAATTGCAATCATACAATTTTTCATGAAATAGACAATTTTAATTAGTTTAATGGTTAAAACTACAGTGCCATTAATTCATCCGACATCACCGATTAGATAATCGGAAATTTAAATACAAGTTTTGATCTTGGCACTATTCACTTTTCGAAAAACTTTTCAAAAGTAAACTCTTTTCACAATAAAAAAAAAAGCTTTGTAAATTATTTTCCTAATTGAATGCGAAAATTCATTGAAGTCCCCTCAAATGTACGATTTCAAAAAAAAAAAAAAAAACCTGATCAACAATTCACTGATAGGTAATTCATTGTGCGCTAATCTATTGAATATAATGGTTAACCGAGCATTTCATTTTGTTGTAATTTACCGTGAAAATAAATGGTTCGCATAAAATGCTGGTGAAACTAATGGGCTTTTCCGCATTTCATATTTGTATTCAGGACCATATTCTCAATTAAATAAAATATATACCTATTTTGTGGGTCAACAATATGTGACGTTGACATTTTAATTTCACATTTTCTTAAACAAACAATTCCAATAATTTTCCTCTATGTTTGGAAACTGAAAAGTTTGGACGTTTTAAGTTTGCAGTGTGACAGTGGCCACACAAACTGAAGTTCACATCAATTTTAAATGACTTAAAAGTTTTCCACGATATCTGCTGTTGATATTAACGTTGAAAACGTTGAATTGCAAACACCTTATTTAGTTGTGTTTTATGTCAAAAGTTGTTACGGTTATGTTTTATGCCAAATCTTAATTGACTGTATCAATTTCATGTTTTGTGATGCATGTGCACAGAATCTGTCATATCGTTTACAGACTCGGCACAATCGAGACGTTCATATTTTGTCTTATTTCCGGATCGATTCATAGATAAGATGGTAATGCATCTGATATAAATAGCGAAACGATGATTTGAAATAACATTATTATTAATGTGATTAGACCGAACATTTTGCAGTATAATTTCTGGCCAAATAATGTTATCTTTACAAAACATTAAATTTTCTTTGTTACACAAACATTAAATATTATTATTGCAAACACATTGTTCCTTGTTTCAAATGAATGATAAATGGGTTGAGCGGCGAGGGCGGATATTTGTGATTGTGTGTTTGTACATTATGTAGTATATTTAATATAGATTGCTTGCCATTCGGTTAAAATCACAGATTGCTGAATTGTTATAAATAACATTGGCACATTTTCCAAAGCATTTACCGTTCAAATAATGCAATTGATTAACGATCCGAAAACGTAACTTATCTGTCGGTGAAAAGCTTGCAATGTTTGTCAGATTATGAGCTTATGAGGTAATACTGCAAGTAGTGAATAAGTTTATCCAATTAAACATGCTTCAGCGAAAACATTAATATCCCCATGACAATCCACGGGGATCATAAAGGGCATTGATAAGTTTTACTTCAACTTAAGCCGTGGCACTCAAGCAACGAAACGCCGCTTAAAAATCTATATATAGATTGTGTCGCATTTGCTATACTTTTATTTTCGATCAATTACTCGACATCATTAAACCATTCTTAATGTCAAATCAATTGACACTGACTTCTGTTCTATGATGTTTAATAAACATTCTTTATATTGAATCACATCAATCTCTGATCAACCCGTGACGCCATATATGCAATTTCTGCATGGTCAATAGTCACTTAATCATTTTCACTTAAGCAAACAATCCATGGGCGTCCTCGGAGAATCACTCATTAGAGGGTGGCGTTCAAATGTTATATGGTAAATAGCCTACACCTTCAAGAGAACACTTGAATAAAATAAATTCAAGTTTTATATTTGACTTGCGCCCGCATAAGTGGAAGTTTTTAGCCCAAAATACCGAAAAACCTGATAAATAATTCTCTATGGACGATCATTATAACCATTCAAGAGAAACTGGAGAGCAATTAAAAAATATCAATGAAGAATATTTAATTTATACGCTATTTTTATTCAGTTTGAATTCAAATAATTGAATCATTTGTCATTTCAACTTGAGATAAATAGTATCAAAAATACTTTGAATTTGATCGATTCAGTTTCAATCAGGTGAATCAAGATTTGACGCCCCATCT